AAACAATGCCCTTCAGTTTTGCCTTATGAATACTGAATGAATACGATGACAAAACTACAACTTCAATTAAAAAAAAAAAAAAAAAAAAGGAAAGAAAAACACAACCAAAACTTCTTATCTTCATCCATCAAGCATTACACAGAATAGAAGCCTGTCTGGGGCTGAATTCTTCTGGTCACTTTGATGTTTGTTGTGGTCTCTGTTTATACTTCAGAGGTTTTAACTGCTCATATTCATGTTCTGCTTCTTCCTCGTCTAGTGGAAGGTGTCCCTGCCCATTCCAGGGAGTGGGAACAGGGTGGTCTCCAACGTCCCTTCCAACCAAAACCATTAAATGATTTTATGTTCTACCTGCACAGTTTGGAACTCCTTGGAGTTTAGGGTATCTTAGCCCAACAGCTCCTCTTGAGGAGGTTCACAGCTTTACTCACCCCAGGCTCTGTCCTCGCAGGGAAGAGCTCAGAGCTCAGGATCTGCAGCAGTGACCCCCCAGCACAGTTCCTGGCCAGGAAATGTGAAGGGTCTGCACAAAGCAGGGCAGGGGTTTCACGTGTGGGTGCTCCCAAACATCAGGCTGTGTCATATGGGAGGATAACATCCCCTAAAATGTGTTTTACTGTGGGATGGGTGGGACAACCCTGGCCCTGGGTGCTGCTGCAGCATCAGCACCTGAGAGTCAAACTCAACCTGCACCACGGGGAGGGGGGGGAGAAGCTCCAGAGAGCAATTAGCACCTGAAGCACTGTGATGCTTTTCATCTTCAAAGCACATTAAAACCACCACCTAATTCGTTTTTACAACAGCCCTCTGTGCTCGGGTGCCTTAAACATCATCTCCCTTTATAGACACAAAAAGCCAAGGGTGATGTAATTTGTTCCAGACCAAAAGGAATCTGCACCGAGATTGGGAATGGGTGGTGTGTTTGCAAGCAGTGGGCACCACAAACCTGTCCAGATTGCACTTCTGAGCAAAGATTTATTAGAGAGTTGTGGAATGATTTGGGTTGGAAAAGACCTTAAAGATCATTTTGTTCCAGTCCTCATCACTTCGAGCTGATGGATTCTGCATCACATTGGGAGCAGCTCCAAAGCCACAGCAGCACATGCAGAATGGCACTTCCTCCCTGCCAGGCCGTGCCATTTCTTCCACTTTCCGTTTAAAGCATCTCCTTTTATTGAAAAGGAAAGTTGTGCACAGGTGCTCACCTAAGGAACTGAGTAAACAGGATATCATGAAAGCACAGTTCAATGCACTGCAGTGGTAATGCATTAATTCATCCAGAAAGAAAACATTCCAGAAAGGAAACATGACTGACTGAATTTCCTTTCTTCCCTTTCTTCCTCTTCTTTCTTTGTGTGACTCAGCCTTTCAAAAGTAAAGAGAAAAAAAAAAAAAAAGACGAAGAAATAAGCATTAAAATGACAGAGGACCATTTCCCAATTCTTTGGGAGCATCCCTGTGCATCCTGTGCAAAACCTGCTGCACCTGGATGTGGAGCAGAGCAAGAGGGAGATGCCCCTGTCAGAGCAGGCTGTTTCTTGCAATTAAACATGGGAGGTCCTGCCCGTCCTTTCCTGTGCTGTGCAGAGAGGGGAGAACAAGCTCAGTATCAAGATAACAACTAAGTGGCCAGAGATGGAACATTGTTCTCGAGTTTCAGTTTGGGGGATGTGGCCCTTTCCATCTGCTCTGGCTTTTCTGTCCCAGCTGGGAAGAGCCTGCTCTGACTGCTCTGCCCGGTCTGCAGAGAGCTTTCAGGAAGCCCAGGAGTGCTGGAATGATTTTGTGCACTGAGGCAGAAGCTTCAGGTAAAGCAGCTGCTCTTTCACTGTTTCTTTTTTTATCAAAGCTTTGAGGAGCCCTTTGGGAACCAGAAGCCAAATCACATAAATCGCTCAGGTTCAAGCACAGGCAACCTCAAATTATTTTACATTTTCCTTTGGACTTACCATCTGCTTTTTAACCAACTTGAGTCCCGCTTGTGCCCATCTCTTGCTGCTGTTTGGGTCTCTTTTCCTCATGCAGGCAGCAGGCTGAGGAGATACACAATGTATTTACTGGAAACCATGTGCCTGCATCAATAAACCTGTGGAAAAGCGCAAGGATGATGCATTTGCATCATCTAACGCTACAGCCCAGATTCCCTGCCAGGGAGGCCCTTTAGCAGTAATTCAGAGCACCTAATTTAGAGACCTGCCTTTTCTGGGAGCCAGAAAGAGACTAAAATAAACTGTGCAAAACCCAACTTCCTTCAGCATTTACTGCTCCAAGTCTGCAGCTGCACCCTCCTGGACACCAAACCCTTCCCAATACTCAAACCCAGGCCATGATGATCATGTACAGGCCAATAGCAAGAGCAATTTATCCTTGGTTATAAAGGAAATGGGTAAAAACCCAGCTGAGAAAGGCATCATTTTGCACTTTTATAAGTGGTTACCCAGAATTTAATTTCTTTGGGAATCAGATTTGCTCTCACCATGCAAGACACAGACTTCACTCCGAGTCCTTATCCACCTTCTGGAACAACATTCCAACTGGCTCAAAATAAAATTTCATAAAAGAAATTTCAATCTTGGTCCAAGACTTGGCACGGGGGACTTTCAGCCCAGAATAGACTTTTATGGGAAGTGAAACCTCTGGAAAAAAACAGGCTTTAAACTGAAGAATCAACAGCCTCTGGACAACAGCCTTGCCAGCAGTATAATGCACAATATACAATATATACATTGTATGGAATGCACATAGAATACT